TGTGTTCTGACCTTGAATGTAACAGTACTGTTCTGACAATCGTCGGAAAATGGCGGTTGAACAGAGAACCAATCAAATCTTGTTTGAAGTTAAGCAAAACAGCCGGAGAAGCGTACGAAATGATGAAAAGTGTGTACGGTAGTGATTGTTTGAGTCGCTCGAACATTTTTCGATGGCATGCTGTATTTCGTGACGGCAGGGAGGGCACTGAAGACGCTCCACGTGCATAAAAGCCAAGAACAAGTCGCACTGAAGAAAATGTGAAAAAAGTGACCGAAATCCTTGCATCAGACAGATGTGTTTCTGCAAGACTCGTCGAGGAGCTTTTGGGAATAACAGAAAGTACTGTGTATCAAATTTTGACCGAGGATTTCGGCAAATGGAAGGTCTGTGGGCGATTTGTACCGCACGAGCTGTCAGGCGATGAAAAACATGCCACAGTGGAACACTGCAAACACATGTTACGGTCGGCCCAAACTGATACAAAATTTACAAAATTGATTGTTACTGGTGACTTGACACGGTGTTTTCAACATGAGCCTCTCATAAAGCGGCAGAGTGCAGCGTGGTGGAGCCCAAAGAAGCCAAAACCAAAGAAAGTGTGCATGCAAAAGAATCGAGTAAAAACACTACTAACCGTTTTCTTCGATTCCAAAGGAATCTTTCACAAGGAATTTCTGTCAGAAGGTCAAACAGTGAATTCTGATTATTATCTCGGAGTCCTCAATCGTTTGCGGGCGAGAATTCTTCGAATTCGACCTGAATATCGAGAGCAAGGTTCCTGGGCGCTCCTCCACGAAAATGCCCCACCCCACAAATCGAAGATCGTGCGCGATTTTTTGGCCAGAAAATTGATCACAGTCCTTGATCATCCTCCGTATTCGCCAGATTTGGCTCCAGCAGATTTCTGGTTGTTCCCAAAAGTTAAGTTGGCGATGAAAGGAGACCATCACGACACCATCCAGGACATCCAAAGGGAATGTACCGCAGTTTTAAATGCGATTCCACAAAAGGAGTACGGTGACTGTTTTAGAAAACTTTTCAATCGATTACAGCTATGTATTCATTCAGAATGAGACTATTTTAAATAAAAAGAGTGAAATTTTGAAAATAATTCACGTCTTGTATTTTTAATGAACATAGTCCTAACAGAACCTGGACACACTGCGTATATAAGAGGCTTATTGTATTATATAAACCTGCATATATTAGGCAAATAATTAATGAGATAAACACGTCAGGTCTTTATATAAAGTTATGACTTTACCTTATTCACAAGTGCCCACCACTGGACCTTATCCTGAGCCATATGGATCCAATCTACAAACTCACACCATGTACCTCTGATGTCCACTTTAATATTATAACTTTATTTATACCCAGACTTTCAAAGTGATATCTTCCTTTAAAGTTTCCTGATTAACATTATATATATATTACACCCTGCCCATATCTGTTCTCTCCATTGTATAAAGTGCAAACGTCTTGATGACTAAATGACACCCCTTGCTCCATGTGACATCCTGTACTCACAATAAATCTCACTTATACTCTGATAATTCTCTTATTACTGATTTAAATGAACCAGCCCTACAGACCTCCTGAGCTTCCATGTCCTGTTTGTTTTGCTTGGGTCAAACTCCAAGTCTCTGCACAGCATTCTGTATGAGCAGGGTAACGTTGGGGTAAGGCTCGTGGCCCGTATTCGGGAAGTGTTTGGCTCAAATACTGGCTGTGACACTGGTCATCCTGACCCTTTATTCACAGTTTTGCTCAGTCTGTACAGGCAACTGTCAAGATTGTATCTCCATCAGGACATGATAACTTATTTCCAAATCCTTTCCAATTCATCTTTTGACGCTACATAGTACAGTTACTGATAGCATCGAGAAATATCCCACAAAAGGGCATAAGAACTCTTTAAAACATCGGAGGGAAATTACAGGCGTATTCGTCGAAATATCTGCGAAATACTCGCAAAAAGTTTGCTGGAAGGTGGCATAGACTCATCACATCCATCCTTAGTGTTGTCCCTAGTACAGGTAGGTACATTCGAAGCTCAACCACAGACACCGTTTATTCAAGGGGGTTAAAAGCGAGCGGCGAAAAAAAAACTTTATTACAACCCTTGGGGGAGAGTAAATGCTAACACGCCCAGATAAGGAGCGTCTATAAACCCTGAAAGAAAGTGGAAGTCCTGTTTATCTGTGGCGCTGCAATGACTATGATGGTTCGCCCCAGAGAGAGGGCAGTAATGGAGTGTGACTGCTAGTCTTCCCGTAGGGCAGAGTTGTTACTGTTACAGAACATTCGGAATGCAGCCAGAGCGAGGCAATTTGTCCACGATTCAATAAAATACAGCTCACTGTAAGAAACACTAATACGTAAAGCTGTATAGTGTACAAGAAAGAAGGTGAACCTTTGTACCTCCGACAGTCGGCATACAACACCATGTTATACGGGGATTGCTGAGTTTCTGAATTCTGCCCATCGTTTAGTGGTCTGAAAGAACATAATATTTCGGGAAATGTATGTTTCCGTCCTCGGGTAAAAGGCTGGGGAGGCACTTGCTCAACTTGATGCAACAGAAAGAGTTAATATCAATCAAATGACAAGTTGCCAAAATGTGTTTCTCCCCACCCCAGAATACCAGACGATGGACAAAGTCCAAAAACTCTGTAGCCCGTATTGTAATACAAGGCGATTCTAAACTACTGTCGGGGTGTTCATGCCCTATAAACGGAAACCACGACAATAATTTAGAATCATCCTGTACATCGGTACCCTTCTGATTGAATCACTTCATGCATTCGGTTGTGTTTGTGTGGAGCAGGACTCGATTCTTCTGGCTCCGAATTTGGGACCAGTGGCAATATCTTGTGAATATGGTAATGTCCCAAACAGTTAGTTCCCACAGAAGGTGGTACATTTCTTTTCCGGTTAAGCGATTACTAGCTTCAAATGACTGGGTGA